AAAACAAGTACAGTTTTATACTTTGCAAACACGACAACCAAGAAAAATTGGTTAGTGTTGGTAAACAACATGTGATATGTCTGTATCATGTTAAAATACAAACACATATCTATTACTCATATTTTCTACAATACATAAAATGTTTTTCATTTCATAACCTTTACCATGTGATAGAACTAAATGTAAAAACCTCCAACATCTGTGTGACCATAACAGATCTGGCAATCAAACAGCATAACTTGTGACATCCAGTAAATTTAAAGAGTCTTGAGGTGGTAAGCTTCTAACTACCAACTACCTTTCCTATGGACGCTGGGGTCTTCTCACTGTGAAAATCTTTTTTTATTATTATTTTTGTGGGTCGAAAGAAATACAATAATCCGTAGCATACAGATACTGTGTTATAACAGCTAAGGCTACTTGTGTGAAGATGTGAGAGATATAATAACATGTGAAGATGTTAAAGAGATATAGTAACATAGCAGATGCCTCCACAATGTATTTACTTCTCCTCAAATACTCTTAATATGAATAGAGTACAACATCAACTAATTTAATATCCAGGAATGAATTACTAATTGTACTCAATTTGCTTAAAAACGCATATGTTGGGTAAGTTAGGGGGAAATCTTGCTAGAAAATAGATTTTATCTAACGGCTTACGAAGCCAGCAGCAAATGAAAATAAAATTTTAACAGGTGAGATCTCCCCATGGCTCAGGTTAGGGGCATCTCTGCTCCAGTCGTAGACACCCATAGGTGATTTTATCTTCTATCCAGGAAGGGCAGTTTGTGTTTGTTGTAGGTACCTCTTGCAAACCCGTGACCGAAGAAAGGTCAGCACCTCAGATAGATGTAACAGTATGTATGTCTTGCCAACCTTGAATTCCAGAAGACGATATAAGCTCTACATATATCGGGGACAGAATTGTCCCTGAGAAGGTAACTCTCCATAAGCATTGTCTCCATAATGTGGTATAACAGGAGAAGTCCTTGTAAAAATAAGCTGGAAACCTTTGACGGTTTTGATGGAGAACTTCTGGTAAAGGTGCAGCCGTTTTTAAAAATAATTTTTTTCCTGGAATGTAAAATATTAGCACCTTTTATTTACTTGTTTGTGTCTATATAGTAGAGGGGAGCAGCCTGATCTGTCCTTCATGCTGGCCATTCATGCACTCAAATCTGTGCACTGTTTCTGTAGGGAGCAAACAGCTGCTTTGGTTGCTGTCTACTCCTCCACAGCTACTGGGTGGCTGGTTAATGACGATATCTCGTCCTTTACCACCGCCATGTCTTCTTGAAACATAGAAACATAGAATGTGACGGCAGATAAGAACAATTCGGCCCATCTAGTCTGCCCAATTTCCTAAATACTTTCATTAGTCCCTGGCCTTATCTTATAGCTAGGATGGCCTTATGCCTATCCCACGCATGCTTAAACTCCTTTACTGTGTTAACCTCTACCACTTCAGCTGGAAGGCTATTCCATGCATCCACTACCCACTAAACATGGCTCTGATATCCTGATATTTGTCATTTTCACCATCTGATGCTGCACTGATATTGCTGCAATTAAGACCAGTGGGTGAGTGGATAACACAAATCTGAATTGAGCGAATATAAGCGCAGATCTTCGTCAATATGCGGCTTTCTCGCTTGGGCACTGGCTCAGCCCCCTTGATTAAAATTTTGTCGATAAATAGCTGCTCTAAGATGTCAGTTAACAATAGATGGCTGCATAAAGTCGCTACAAATTACCACCAGGTTAACAACTTTGTTACTACATTCTTGTAGCCAATCGCAAATAATCACTATGGTTATGTCTTTTCCAAGAAATATTAGAAGTCAGTGTATATCATTAATAACTATTGCAAGAGCTGCATTCTAAATCATCCACTAGCATATTTTCAAAGTAAAAAGTATTGCATTACATAGCATTAACAGTTCAGTGCTCATTCTTCATTATAACAGGATTGTCAACAGTTAGTCTAGCCATACTTGTAGATAAATTGATTTTTATTTCTTGCTAAATACCTTCATATATAAGAATTTTGATATATATATTTCATATCTGTATGTGATAAGAAACGTCTGTGGCTCAGGATCTGACTATAATCCAAGTCCTGCTTATAGATAAGGCTAAATTCATTAACCCCTTAGTGACCAGACCACTTTTCAATTTTCTTACCGTTTTGGACCAGGGCTATTTTTACATTTCTGCGTTGTTTGTGTTTAGCTGTAATTTTCCTCTTACTCATTTACTGTACCCACACATATTATATACTCGCCATTAAATGGTCTTTCTAAATATACCATTATTTTCATCATATCATATAATTTACTATAAAGAAATTTATAAAATATGGTTTCTAAATTTTGTCCTGAGTTTAGAAATGTTAACATGTCCTTAGCTTTTTTTGGAAAGTTATAGGGCAATAAGTACAAGTAGCACTTTCCTATTTCCAAACCATTTTTTTTTTTTTTAATTAATGCAAGTTACATTGTAACACTAATATCTTTCAGGAATCCCTGAATAACCCTTCACATGTATA